TTAGCTGGGTGCAGCGCGATCTGTTCAATTCCCCACTTGTCGGCTGGCCACGAAGCACAGTGGCCAGCTTGCACTCTGTCCTTGCTCTCTTAACAAAGAACAATTGCTCTCTTTCTCCCCTCGGCAAACTCCACTTCTAGAAAGCGACAGAGAGCCACTCACCTTGATGTTCAAGTGTGCCCAAACCGGATCTGTAATGGCATGCTGAGGCTCAGTGCTTTAATGGTGATAATTTTTTTTTTTTTTTTTTGCTCTGGACTTTTTTGCTATTTCTTAAATTATTTTTTTGTTGATAAAAGTAAAGAATTTTCTCTTAGAATATGGACAGTGTCCACCAAACTCATAGTGAATCCAGGGCTCTGAAGAGAGGGTGGAACCTTTTCCTAGCCGATTTTTGTTTTGTTTTTGGTTTTGTTTTTTTGTTTTTTCGAGACAGGGTCTCTCTATGTAGCTCTGGCTGTCCTGGAACTCACTATGTAGACCAGCTTGGCCTCAAATGCACAGAGATCCGGCTGCCTCTGCCTCCCAAGCGCTGGGATTCAAGCCGTACACCACTACGTCCAATTTTTCTACCCATTTTTTGATAGATCCTGAAAAACAAAATGTGGCCAGAAGGACTGAAAGAAGCAAGCCAGGAGGGGAAAAAAATAATGGGATGCACAGGAGAAGCAGGAGATGCCGTGTCTGCCGTCAGAGGCTTGAATTTCCTGAAATAGCGGCCAGTCTGGTCAGCCAGGCTTCCTTGACATGGTCTGAAACTGTGCAAAACAACTGCTGTGAAAGCGTGGCCTGAAAGGAGATGTGTGAGTCACTCCGACGCTGGGTGAAGGCCGTGGTCTGTCTGTTTATTTGAACTCATACAGTACAGCTACAGGAATAGGAACACACGCGTCTAGCTGAAAAGCTCACCCCATTCCTCGGGGAGTAGGAGTCGATTCAAAAGAATAGGTTAAAAACAGCGCATGGGAGATCAAAGTGGGATATCAGGATTGATGCAGGAGATAAAAGTAGCAATAAGAAAAATTTGCATTTCTACGCAATTCAGTGTACTGTACATTGCTCTGAAAGATTCCATGCTCTTTATAAACTTTCAGAATCAGCCCAAACTCTGATGGGTTTCTCCTGGGTTTTGTCTACCAGGGAAGCTGAGCACCAATGCTACGAGGTACCGAGAAAGACTGAAGGGGAGCTTCACTTTTAACCATGCCTAACTCATACTGCAAATCCAGGGAATGCTACAGCAGCCCACCTGAAGATGAAAAACTTTAAACACAGAGTTATTTTACAAATTAAATGGGATAACACGGTGGGCGCTGAAAGCTATTTCTCTCACTCACTCTCAAGTTCGAATGATGAATTGCGTACAATTCCATTTTACTTTGCTGAAATAAATGGGTGAGATTTCTTGCACTGGCTCACTAGGCCTGCCACAACAAAGCCCAGAACAAAGATGGCAGAAACAGCACATTCATTGCCTCTGAGGTGTCAGCAGGATTGGTTTTCTCTGAAGTTTAGCTCGGAGTTTTTCCGTACTATCTTCTCCCTTCTGTATTCTCCTGGTCTCAACTTTGTGTATGTCATGTCTGCTGGCCAGTTGCTGATTCTCCGGACAGCAGTCAGACTGGATTACGGTCTACCCTAAAGATTTAATTATTACTTTAAAGATCCCCTCTATCCCTTCCTCCCTCCTTACTTCCTCCTAACTTCCTTGCTTCCTCCCTTTCCTTACGGGTATTTTGAGACAATCTCACACTGTAGCCCTAGCTGGATTGGTACTTGTTAGAGACCCGGGTTAGCCTTGAACTCACAGTTATCCCCAGGCCTCAGCCTCCTTAGTGTTAAGACTACATGTGTGCGCATGATGTAGTGTACACCACGACTGGCTTTAAAGGTCTTATTTCTCTAAATATAGTACATTCTGAGATGCTGGGGCCTAGGACTTCAATATGTCGAGTGCAGGAAGTGAGCGAGCGAGCGAGCGACCGAGCACAATTCAGCCCTCTTACATTAAGGATTGGGCGAAACCGTCCAAGTCCACCTCTGTGTGTCAAGGAAAATGCATTCCTATGTTATAAGCAAATACAAATTGTTCTGTCCACATGCATAGGAACACAGAACAGGGATTGGGCAGGGTGCCCTGGATCAGTCTCTTCCTCTGATGGAAGTGGAGACAGTGTGTCCCAGACCAGGCCTAAAGAACCCATGAGAGAACACCTGCAGAGTCTTGTATATGCTACAGGATCAGAATGTTAGCTCACTGGGACATAATATGGATAAAGCAATGTCAAACTAATTACAAGAGCTAAACCAGCCCCTGCAGATGTTAGCTGCAAAAAAACGAGTGAATTTTGCAACTTCTGGCTCCACTTTTAAAGGAAACTATGGACACACTACTATGTCTTCCAACAGTTTGGGCAGGGATTCCTTTGCAGCATTTCAAATTTCCTTTGGCCTTTTTCTCTTGGATTCAGGGGAGTGCCAGCGAAGCTACCTTGGTGGCCCTACTGGCTGCTCGGACTAAAGTGACCCGCCAGCTGCAGGCAGCCTCCCCAGAGTTGACACAAGCTGCCATCATGGAAAAGCTGGTCGCTTACACATCCGATCAGGTTAGTGTGCTGGGGTGGGCATCGGCCCAACACGCCCTTACCCCCGACCCACCCCAGAGCTGAATCCAAGAACAGTTAGCATCATTTCAAATCCAAAAGCAGTTCCCCAGGGATCGTGAGGGGGGAAACTTCTTCTATCCTGGGAGCTTGGGAGATCTAGTCAGAAATGAAATACACATGCTGAGAGCCCCCACAACTGGCTGCTTCCCATTTCTGTAGTGTGGAATTGCACTGTGCCCCTGTGGCTTGCCTTTAAAGCTCCACTGTGGAAAAATTGGAAGTGAGGCTCCAACCTGGTGCCAAATCCCAGCTTTGTAAATCATGTACATTCTCAAAGCCTATTTTTTTTTCTATTAGCAAAAGGGATAAAAGCACCATGCTTGCTGTGACCACTCAGTCCAGCTTGTGGCTTGAAAGGACTGACTTGGAGTTCATTATACTGCTCATAAAACCCTGCAAATAGAAATTGAGTAGTTTTAGCTCACTTATTTTATTTACTTGACTTTGTGATTAACTATTTTATATTGTTCCTTTTTCTTCATTTTAATCCTGTTAGTTGTATATTCTTTTTTGTTGTTTGTTTTCTTTTTCAAAGCAGAGTTTCTTTGTGCAGCCCTGGCTGTTTTGGAACTCCCTCTGTAGTTCAGTCTCAACTCCAACTCAGCTTCCCAAGTGCTGGGAACTCGCTCTGTAGTTCAAGCTGGACCCAAACTCGGCTTCCCAAGTGCTGGGATTAAATGCATCGGCCACCACTACCCAACATATTCTTTTATTATACAACCCTGTCACCTTTGGTGTACATATTGCCATATATTTAACTCCATATGTATTTAAAGTCACACAAACGAATGAAAACCTTAATCAATAGAGAGCCAACACTTCACTCTGGGAGTGTTTGATTCCTTATATTGAAAAGCAAGTTTCCCGGATGGAAACAAGTCCAGGAAAGAGGTGACTTCATAAAGGAGGAGGAGAAGAAATCAACTCTGTCCCCTTCACGGGGCATCAAGAGCTCAGGCTGGGAGCTCTGCACAGCCAGTGCCTCAGGAGCCATAGGAACACACCCTCACAGACTCAGCCCTACCTGTTTTCCTTGCAGGCACACTCCTCTGTGGAAAGAGCAGGATTAATTGGTGGAGTAAAGTTAAAAACAATCCCTTCCGATGGCAACTACTCCATGAGAGCTTCTGCTCTTCAGAAGGCCCTGGAGCAAGACAAAGCAGCTGGCCTGATTCCATTCTTTGTAAGTTCAATGCTTGTTGGAGATGGCAATGGGTTCTGTGTGGGTCTAGGTAGAGTTTGGGGCATGCGTGCGTGCGTGCGTGCGTGCGTGCGTGCGTGCGTGCGTGCATGCGTGTGTGTGTGTGCATGCGTGCATGTTCTGGGAAGAGGCAGTCATTGTCTTTACTGGTTGTAGACTTGAAGGAGAAATTACCTCCTCACTCCAGGCATTTGAACACTTGGTGACACAGAGTTTTGGTGGTGCCTTTCACTAGGAGTGAGCTTTGAGAAAAAGAAAAGCCTTAGGTATTCCAGTTCACTCTCTCTGCCTCATGCTTGAAGCTCAAGATGTGAATTCTTACATTCCTGCCACTGCTACTATGTCTGTTGCATGCTGTCACGCTGCCATTTTGGACACTAAGCTTCTGCAACAGTAAGCTCAGATAAACTCTTCCTTCTCTGCCTTAGCCATGGTGTTCTATCACAGCAACAGAAAGAAACTAAGTTACACATATACCCACTGGTGAGCTCCTCACACTCCAAAGGATGCTCCAAAGCTTGTAGTCACAGAGTCAGCCACCATCAAAATCAGTGTGGGTCACAAGACAAAACAAAACAACATCGAATGTAAAGAAGAGACTTCTAAGGGGGAATGTCAGGGGAAGAAAGGAGATTGGAGAGAATGGGGGTGTGAAAGTAACCAGAATGTATTATATACACGTGTGATAGTCGCAAAGAATAAAATTAATGAAATTATATTTAAAAAATAACCACTGTAGGCTTTACTGCCTGGGTTTGTTGCTCTCAGCAGATACTAAGAAGGTTCTTTTGTTGTGAGCAAACAGTGAATTATCCCTCCCATGTAAAACTAACTAGCCAAATGGCATGCTGGTTCTTTTGTGCCTAGGTATGCATTCTAATGGGGGATGCACCTGGAGTTTGAGACTTGTCATGTTTCTGACGTAGCCACAGCAGTATGTTCTGCCTGGGACTAATATGTCATGTTTGAAGCAATTGGAGTGTCATTACTG